CATACAATATCATTGTAGGCATCGACGACGGATAAGGATAACGATATGGCATGCATGTTCATACACTTTAAATCATAGTACCCCTGGTACAGTAGTATTCACTTTACAATGTTATGCTTAATATATTGATACTCCGCAAACATCGCCACTATTCAGATAATAGTACTCTGGGAATGTTACCATTGGGAGCGAATAAGTAATTCTTAGACAATACTGCTTCACGCATATGTGTACACTTGCTCGAGCGGTACTCTCCCAATCATACAGTTCCACACATTATACGGCTGTTAATATAATAACACTCCAGGGAGTGCTATGAATTCCGGAATATGGTGCTTTCCCTATAATAGAAGCCTAAACGGTAGCCCATGAAGTTCCAAGGTTTTCAATAACTCTGGTCTTTCGATCTCCGGAGTCCTAGCACAGTTGTGCATTCCAGGAAATCACACTAGGGAGATATGAGTACACTCAGAAGACTGCGCCGCAGATCATCTGTATGTTTTATACAATTATGCCCCTAAATGGAAAGTACTTTGCAGATATCAGTATAGATCAACCATTAATACATTCATATAACAGTACTACGGGAATTTTTGCAATCCTTAACAATCAAAATCCGGACACATTAATACTTTGTTGGCATCCCTGCTTGTGGAATATCTATGTACTTCATAGAATATTGGCCTACGAATAATTACACTCCTGGAACATCAGTATTTTCCACACAATAATACGGTTAACATTATACTAGTCATGGCATAGTTGTACTGTTTACTTAATATGATTCGAGGCAACCTTAGGAATTTCGGGAATCTTGCAATTGATATCATCCAGCCATTAAACCAACATGACGACCCTTCAAATAATGTTATTCCAAGGACAGCTGTACTCATCAGGAGAAACTATTCTGTACATAACATCAGTGTTCTTCAAGTAATCGTGCAATTCACCCATTCATGTGTCCCAGACAACTGTACCCTCCATACGGAGGTACTACGGCAACTTCCACACGTTTCGTAACGGTTGGCCCCCCTCATACGGCACAGAGCTAGGTCATGAATTCTGCACCTCTCTTTACTTAATAATACCGGCTTAACTTCGGCACTCATCAAATGGCATCGTACAAGCCATATTAGGCATCTTTAGATATGAGTACTATAGATACCTCTGTAGTGTCCCCATAATAATACTCCAAGTCATAAATACTCATTCAGCAAATATTCTATTCAGATAAGAGTATTATCCACACAACACTACTGTAAACAGGCCGGTACTTCTTGTATTATCGTACTCTAGCAAAGAATCCTACTCCAAGGGTAATCTTACTCATAAAGGCAAAACACTTCACACATCACGCTTCTTTCTGTATAATAGCACTCCAGGTGATCCATATAGCTTCACTACTAGTATCTTTATAGAATAGTAGTATGAGGACTTCTACACCCGTCATCATTGAGAAAGTACAGACAATGGTACTCCCTAAACAATAGTTATACTGGAATATCCATGGACTTCACAGAATAGGGCCGTCCATGTAATGAAAGCATAAACCATAAATCTTTCACATACACTAGTACATGCACCACTATACTCGTCACATAATAGTAGTACACTTATATCCGCGCACATTACTGGGAATGGAAATCCACAACAGTATTGTACAGATAATGGTACCCCAAGTGTATATCCTTTGTTCAAATACCAATAGAATAAGGGTGTTACTACTCTCGACATATAAGTATTACGAATACATGGATATCCTTTATATAAAGTGAAACTGGAGGATATCCCTACCCCTTACACAGATTTGTCCTTCAGAAGACAGCCCTCCAGGCGTAATGGAACCCTTCATATAACACTCCCCTAGAACATCATTACATTTCACATAATACTGCATTCAGCATCTCAGTGGACTCAACAGAATGGAACTCTCCATATACTCCTGCTCTTCACATGGAATGAACACTGGTATATTCGTGCTGTCTAAATAAAGGTGCTCTAGGCCGTCTGGACGGTGCAGACGATTCAATTGTCCGTACATTACTTGTATAATTTCTGAACGCTCATATAATACTATTGCGGATATAGCTGTATACTTCACAACCATGGACACCTGCGATATATTCCAGTGGCTTATACACTTCTCCTCCTTATATAATACTACAGCACGTATATCTTTGAACTTCATCCAATGATTTCATTCATATAATACTATTCTTGAGACACACATACAGGGTTGAAATAATGGTATCCCCTTTATTTCAATACTATTTAAATCATAGTACGGCGGCCACATTAGTATTCATCCCAACAATGTCATTCCTGGCATATCAATAATTCACAAACAGTAGGAATATTTACAGGATTCTACTGTGAGAATATCAGCATTCAAAGTTAAGATGTTATTATCGCAAATGGGTAATTTAGGGACATCAGTACACTTGGTAGGACGGTGCTGCCAGAATCATGGATCTGTACGCATTTCACCGCTCGTAATATAATTATACTTCATGGATTGCTACTAGTCTGAGACAGCAATGTTTTTCGTATAATACAAACGGAAATCCTGCCCCTCGATTTTCAGACCCTTCAAATAATTGTACTTCTGGCACGTCTATAATCTGTGCCCCACTGTGTTTCCTAAATGACGCTATTACCCACATATGAGTATACTCACAAGATACGGTTGAAGATTATGCATACTTCTAACCGAGGTATTCTACTGAGACATCAATGCACAACAGATATTACCACAGCTCAACCATTAGTACATTCATATAACAGCACTACGAAAACTTCCGTAATCATCCCCATTCAAAATCCATACACATCCGTACTGTACACGCGTGAATCCTGCTTCAATATCCATACACTCGACGGAATAGTGCTTCCCATATAATGAAACGCTTGAAATATCAATATTCCACACACAAAAGTAGGGTTTACATCTTAGTACGCTTCCTACCATAGTACTATGGAAATGATGGTGTTGCTGGCATCCGTTAGGGGATGTATCATCCCGCACTTCATATAATTGGGCCATTAAACATAAATCCAGGCCCTTCACATAATGCCACTTCAAAGACAGGCATGCTCATCTATGGACACCATTCCCCATATATCCGTAATACTCCTCAAATGATACAACACTGAACAGGTCCACGTTGTTGATATCATAGTACCCTTCATATGAAACTATTACGGGAACGGTCATACCCTCCATGGTGTAATTGTCTGAATAGGATAAAGCTTGATATCATATATCTTATCGGCTTCAACATAAATTACTTGAAAGTACTATCGTAAGTTTCTGATGCTCCGAATAAGGATGTACCGGGAATATTACCACCTTCCAGCTAAGAGTACGGCCTATATCTATGTACTCTTCACAGAATGATACTTCAAGTCATTGATATTTCCCATACATCTGTGCCCTTCAAATGAATGTATTAACCAGACGAGAGTATTGTCAGCATAACAATATTACCTGTACACGCGTACTCTCTAAAGGAGAGTAACACAGATATAGTCCTACTAATAAAAGCACATAACTTCAGATCGGATGGTAGCCGTAGAACAATAGTACTCCTGGAAGATCAATAGCGGAGACAAAGAAGTACTCCTAACATAATCATACTCTCGGAGTAGAAATACTCTTTAAGTAATAGTATTACAGATGGGCCCTAGGAGTTCGGCAATCCTGCACGTGATGTGATGAAGTCATTAGACTTACATCAAGACACTTGACATCTTGATAATCCAAGGATAAGCTTATTTCTCGAGGGACACCGCTTCGCACATAACAGTAGTCTTCTTAAATTAACAGTGTTCTTCACACATTGGCAGACTCGACACAGAAGTATCCTTCACAAAAAGATAATACTGGAGCTTGTTCATACTTCATAAGATAGCTTTCCCCAAATGGTAAAAGGTTACGCTACATACATCCTATCATCCGAATACATCACTTAATACGAATGTCTCGACTTCGCCCCCCTCCATACACAAGTGTACCAAGCACATCAGCTATCCCCCAATATGAGTACTATACATACGTTTGTAGTTGTCTCACATTTCCACTGCCAATCATGAATACTCCCTAAGAGACAGTGCTATTCGAATAGAGGCTTTATCAACACAACAATATCATTAACATCCCGGTACTCCTCGAAGAGACATACTTTTCCATAACAGACTAATTCCAATATAATAATATTCATTATGGGACATCCCACAGCACATAATCGTGGCCCGTAGTATGATAACACTAGACGTGATCAAGATAGCTGAACTAATACGAGGTTGACATAACAATACAAGGGCAATTTTGGGATTCCTCACCATTGAGAATCCAAACACGTCAATATTGTTTAGGCGAAAATTCTGGAATACCCATGCACTTCACATAACAGTATTACACCTACATCCGGGCGTTGCATTAGCGTTAGAAACGCACACCAGTATTTTGCGAAGAAGAGTACCCCAGGGGGTTAGGTGCACCTCATGTAAAGAAACCATAAGCATGTCAGTACTATGCACGTATGAGTATTACAGATAGGTCAATAGGCTTCATACAATAACACTCCAGGAAAATCCTTACCCCTGACCCAAGTCTCTTGTCCAATTAACAGTGTTATCCAGGTAACATCGCTATTTACCTAATAGTACCGGATGGACATTATCACTTCTAAAGGAATAATACACCAGGGATAAATGTGTTCTTTTACACATCGATATATTATTCCTGCTTGGTCATACTACTTCATCTGTATAGTCATGATATTTACACTTCAAATAGGTGGCCATTCTCATAATAGCCAAGGAGAGGACAAATCTTCATAATGCAGCCACATAAGAGAAAAATAACAACGCTGCTGAAGATATTAGGAGACAGGGGATTGTGATAAAAAAGAATAACATATAATAAATACAGCATATCCACAGGGATAGACCCAGAAGGGCATCTTCACGATAATGCCAGAAGAGGAAACCTTTTCAGAATGATCGGGGCAAAGGGACATGTTCAAAATGACCGCACAAAAGGAGATCATGAAGATACCAGAAGAAGAGAGCATCCTCATAGAAAAAATAAGGAACAGGACACCAGTTTAACCATGCCGCAGGAAAAGGGCATCTTCATAGAGGAGATCGCACAAGAGAGGACATCTTCAGAAGACCGCGAAAAAGGTTACATCATCGTAGAGAAGATGAGACACAGAAAAACATCTTCACGATCCCGCGGAAGAAGGGAGCATCCATATAAAACAAATGACACAAAACGATATATTGAGACTGCCGCCGGAAGATAGCATCCTAAGTATGCCGCCGAAGAGAAATATCTTCATGAAAAGAAGGCCTCGCGAGAAGATCTTGGCGGTAGCATAGTAAAAGGAAGAGGCATCTTTAAAAAGCAGCGAAGGAGAAGAATATCATGAATATAACGCGGTAAGGAAATTTTTCCTAAGGAAGATGCCACACGAAGAAGAATTCCCATAATGACATGGATCAAGAAACCTCATCGGAACACCCGAAGAAGAAACTATCGTCA